CTCACGCAGAGCATACAACTCTCGTTCATACGTTGAAGCGGCCACCTTCTCGTTAGGTAAGCGGCAAGACATAAACTCTACAGGCCTGTACCCATGCCCATCATCTTGCTGGAGTACAGCACCTATACCATATTAACTAGCGTCAGTCGTGACCACGAAAGGTAAGGAAGGGTCCGCTACTTTAAGAACCGGATAATTAATCAAACACTTTTTCAGATGCTTGAAGGACATAGTGCAGTCTGAATCCCACTTCCAAATTCTACCTCCGTGCTACTGCGCCCAAAAGCGCGTCGACTACTGAAGACTACCGATGCTTACCTCAGAACTACCTGCCTGCCTAGAATGAGGCTGGCCCAGCTATATATAACGCTCGGCCTAGTGTCCTAGGCCGAGAGGAAACAGTCTAGCAAAAGGAAAACTGGTCTGGCGCCAAGAGCAGGAGTCTGTTCTGGCACCAAAAAAGGTAGGAACCTGGCGAAAATACAAAAAGGTCTGGCGCCAAGAGCAGGAATCTGTTGCCTTCCTACCATAAAGGGGAGGAGCGTGTGTGAGTACCCTTTGTAATCATTTCTGACTTGCCCGTGGAATAGGAACCGGACTGATGCTCCCCAGAATGGAAAAGGAGCCAGAACCGTAAGGTTCTGTTTTTTTCAACAACAAAAAAAAAAAAAAAAAAAAAAAAGAGCAGGAATCTGTTCTGGCGCCAAAAGTAAGAAGCTGGCGAAAATACGAAAAGTTATGGGTCCTTCGGGACATCTGTTAAAATTGTCTGTTAAAATTGGCACAATACAGAGAATATTAGCATGGCCCCTGTGCAAGGATGACGCGCATAAATTGAGAAATGGTCCAAATTAAAAAAAAGAAGAAAGTTATGGTGCCCAAAAGCAGGAGTCAGGCGAAAGATGCCAAAAGTGGGAAAACCTGGCGAAAAGATGCCAAAACGAATCAGTGGCCTAGTGGGTCCTAAGGGGCCAAACATGGCCGAAATGACACAGACTCTAAACCCTACGAAAACCCCTAACCCTACTGTCGGGCCCTGCGGGGCCCCTGTGGAATGTTGGGAGTATGCCACAGAAACAGACCCCCAGTTATCCAGCCACGTCATAGCTCAGTTTGCTCCCAAAACATTGTCACATTCCGCTCACACACACCTTCACAACGTACTGAATTGGCAATGCAAGAATAATCAGAGGTGTGTGTGCGGCCATGGTTTTGCAGGCAGGTGGTTGAAAGAGAGAACCCTTGCTCATCACCCGTTCCCCCGGCCCGCACTTGGCACCCCCAACCAACCAACACGTCCCCCCCCCCCCCATCTCAACCCGCCCCCTTTCACACACAAACCTCTTGATGAGTCAGTGAAAATCCTGCGAAACCGTCTCATGCATTTTTTGTGCAGTTGTGTGTATAGCAAAGACGACAACACAGACACACAGATGCCAGTTCGTGTCAGGAAGGCCCATAGTCTAACCCCCCAAACAACACTGTCCCATCGCCGCACAGCATACATGGAAGATCAATGATCATACAATACCTTGCATTGAGGTCTGTCTGGTTCATTTGCGCAGCAGCCACGATAGCAAAAGGTTCAGACAGAAGCCTGCACAGCGAATGAGCGATGGAGAAGGAGCCATCACCGTTAGCAACCTACTGACAGAAAACATTTATAAAAATTGGATGAAAAAAAGACACTCCGTGAGCTCCACGGAGTCCAAAAAAGTCCTTAACCCACCAGTTCACGCAAACCTAAGTAGTGATCTTACGGGTAAGAGCATCTTTTTT